ATATGTCCTTACCCGGGGAAATTCTTTAGCCACCAGCCAAACTTAACCTACCTGGGAGTCAGGTACATGCATCGAGTCAAGAAGCTGGGAGCCCAAAATGAAGAGTGGTAAACTACTGTGCTGAATTGATCATTTGACCTCTGAAAAGTAACCATCTCTCCTAAGATCATGTCTCATATTGCCACAGGGAAGCCAACAAGAATGAAATAAATAGGCTGAGACCATCTGTCCTTTAATAAAGACTATAAGACTCCAGGCTGCAGTACTCTGCTGACTTTATAGTTACTGGCCACAGAGAGAACATCTAGGCTTTTCTTCCCCAGCAAAGCCTATGTGATTAGAACCTCAAGAGGGGAGGTAAGAAAGGGAAAGAATTCTAAAGTACACACTGGAGCTTCATATGTGTCAAGGATAGTCTGAGACAATTAGCAATATCAGAAAACCAACTTTCTTAGCCGCAACACCAGAATATGCATTTTTAAGTTGATAATTTATATAAAAGCAAAGATCTCACAGAGAAAGATATATATGTAATCCTAAACACAATTAAGTGAAAGGAGAATTTTGTAAAGCTGTAACATGATCTTGAACATGAAAATGCTCTAATGAAGCATATAGAGAATAGAACATATATAGGGTGGCACCTTGCTCTCATTTCTGTCTACTTCCTCTGTATTGGAGAAGCTCATAGCTCTCATTATCTTCACATCTCCATGAGGAATTATGAAATGCTAACTGAAGAAAGGTACAACTTCTGCATGTGTTAACTACTGATCCTATCCCATCATGTAAGTCAATTCACAATTTGGAATTATATATACATATATACTATGCATCTAATATATATATACATATATATATATAATCTCTTAAACATGTCAGAGTAAGTGATATTATTTCCTGGTTTTGTATATCATGATAATATTAATGTAAAATCTGATACTATGAATTTTTGTAGCAAAGATTTATTTTCTTATTAACTTTGTTACTGTGCTTTAAAAGACTAAACGTTCATTGGTTATATTACATTTTATCATAAATTAGTGTGACTTAAAGTGGAATGCCAATGAGTTTTTCCCTGCATTTCTGTATTATCATAGATTGATTGAAGTTAAAAATTTTATGTGGAAATTATTGAAATAAGTGAAGGTAAAACAAGGTTACAATTGATTGACTTTGATTATATATATACACATACATATATATGTATGTATATACACACATATATGTATGTATATATACTTATATACATATATGCACATGTGCACACATATGTATATACATGCGTGTATACATATGTACACATATGTATATACATGTATGTATACATATATGTATGTATATGTACATGTATATATACATATGTGTATATATAAATACATATATATGTATGTATGTATGTGTATATATATATATATACATATATATATATATATGAGAACTACATTACAGTAGGCTCTGTTATCTAACAACTGTAATTATAGCTACTCAAAATCTGAGATCTAAGGATCTGGGTGAGAATCCAGTCCAGGCAGGAAAGTCCATGAGATTCCTTTTTATTTTTAAATTAAATTTATTATTATGTAATTGTACAAAGAAGTTTCAACTCTGTAAGTAAGGTTATGAGCACAATGCATCTTGATCAATGTCACCCCTTATATTTTTTCCCTCATTATTCCCCCTTGCATCTCTACCCTCTTGTTAAATAGTTCATTTTTACATGATGCAATTAGCTATAATGACTATGTTTGCCCTCCTTCACTCCATTTATCCTACCTTGCAAAATGTTTCTCCAATTCCTGATATTTATTTTGATAAACAATCAATTAATTGTTCAGAGGACTGAACACTTTTGGATTCCTCCTCTGAGTATACCATTTTTTTATTTAGTTAATTTCTGTGTATATGTATATAGCCCTGTATATATTATCATGCATGGTTTACTTTATACCTCGCTTCCACATGAGAGTCTTATCTCTAGTTAATCAACCAAACACCAGAGTTGAAAGTGTGCCTCAAAGGGCAGAATGCCAGTCTTGAGAGAAAAAACTTAGCAAGTATGTCAAGCTCTAAGTTCAAGCCTCAGTAGGGGAAAAATTCCTTTCTTTAAAACATTCAATTATTCTAGTGCCCTGCCAAATTACTTTTGGTACATGTAGCTAAGATTAGAAGCCTTACTACTTTGTATCACTTGAACATATTTCCCAGTCACATGCTGGGATATTGCACATGTGGTAGATGTGATATAAAACTGTATTAGACATCAAAATACATGCCGTAGACCTGTGCACCTCTTTCATATTTATCATACTTTAGTGTTGAAAAAGAAAGAGGAAGAACACTTTTAAGGACAATGTTCATGTTTACAGCCTTATTTCAGTGACAGTTGTATGGGTATTATGTGAATAGTCCTCAAGATTCAGACATTAAATGCAAGTTTTTGGTATATTCAAGAATTTAAAAAATTAAATTAGAATGTAAAGATAAAACTGAAAAATAATCCAATCAGATCAGTAATATAAAAATTAAATATTTTACAATTCCCTTAAAGAAAATTTTCAATCAAACTCTCCCTGCTATTGATCTTAATTCCCATGGCATCCAGAACATAGTAGAATTGCTCTGCCCTGAGGCTTGTCCTCTAACTCAGGTGTTGTATGTTCTAGTAGGTTTGGGTGTAGTTGCAGGTGTGTGGAAGCATAATCACCCGACTAGGAGACTCTGATGTGCATATAAGTACATGGACTGGCTCTACTGAGATGCACTATGAATCTTCCTTCATCTTTATCACCATTGGTGTCTGTGGACACCAGAATCTCAAGGCCCTTCCTAGCCTACTGTCTGTACCACCTAAAGTTCTGAGAACCACTGTCTGTACGAGTGTGGCCAAGTGAGGTGGTAGCTCCCTCTGGAACCCTCAGAGACTTAGAACTCTGCTCCACCTCCTTCTGTTGATTACTCACCCCATGTAGAAAGACAGAGGTCACACAGTGGTTTGATAGTGGATGCTCCCCAAATCTAAATTAGCTTTACATGAGGGTAAGAACATTCATGTTTTTCCTCACAGGCCTGAGATAGACAACTCCAAAAACATTAAACTTCATATTCTCAGCTCATGAGAAGTCACAGGATCACTAGTATGACACAAAAGACTCACATCATTCATTCTGAGGACCCAGCTTATAAATGTAAAGGGAAAGGAGTCTCATTCAGATGTAGTTATTATACTTTAGGAAACACAGTAGACCTCTACTCTACCAATTAGAAAAAAGAAGTTTTTTCTTTTTAAAAAAAAATCCTTGTTTCACCAACAAGCTTTTTTCCTTTTCTCTCACCTTCAGAAGTATGGAGGTTTCTTCCCTGAGACAATACTACCCTCTTATGGTCACCTACTCATGTTCAAAGAAATAATCAATTTGCACTATTCTTGTGTTCCATTTTAAAAGTAAAAATCCATCATCAGCTTAAATTAAAATGTATGAGACTTTTCTCCCAATCAGAAGGTTGTTTCTGTTTGCATTAATTTTTATATCAGAAGTTAGATCTTTTCTAAGTAAGAGCATTGATTTCCAAAAGCCTCATTTCTGCACTAACATTCATTCCTAATACTTTTATTATAGAAATCTGGTGTGAATCTTGGAGTCAAGGAGCACTTTATATTGCAGAGCTCTTCTCTGTGTCACCTCAGGAAGCTCCATGTCATTCCTCATGTCCATTTATTAAAGAAATTTCCTATAATTAAGAATCTAATCAAAACAAAATGGCTTAAAATTTAGCTTAACCAACATGATTTCTACTCATAGTCTAAACATTTGTTTTTATTTCATATTCAATTTACAAAATAATGGATTTGTTTTCTTCTTCTATTCTTACTGGTTTAGAGGTAAATACAATAACAAAAGATGTCATTTCCTTGGCTTCATGTACATATTTGTCAAAATAAAATCTATTGAAAATAAAAATGGGTTTATTGTGACATTTTCATGAATTCATATAATGTATTTAATTCATTATCATTGCACCAGCTCTTACCTTCCCCCACTGCCTTTTCCTTACTAGTAGCTCCCTTTCTACTCCTTTGTTTTTCTTTTATCTAGAATCCACATATGAGGGAAAAGATGTAACACTTGTCTTTTTTAGTCTGGGTTATCCCATTTAACACAATTTTCTTCAGGTTACTCAAGTTCTGAAAATGACATAATTTTATCTTGTCTATGCCTCAATGCTATAAAAGTGCTATATTTTCTTTATTCATTTGTTTATTGCTGAGCACCAAGGTTGATTGCACAGCTTAGTCAGTATGAATTGGGTAACAATAAACAGTGTGTTCAGGTTCATCTATTGTCTGCTTACTTTCATTCCTTTGGGCATATACCCAGGAGAAGAACAGTTTGATCATATGATATATCTATGTTCAGTTGTGTGAGGAATATTCACAGTGATTTCCATAGAAGTTGTATTACTTTATATTTCCACCAACAGTACATAAGGGTTCCATTTCCCCTCAAATTCTCACCAGTATTTGTTGTTTTATGCTTTCTTTCATAGCTATTCTTAGTAGCATGTGATGGACTCTTATGTATTTTGCTTTAAAGAATATGTTTTTACAAAACTGGGACTAATCTTGGAATTTTTCATTCAGTTTTCTACCAATGACACACCTTTTGGGAAGGGGACTTACTTAAGTTGATGCAGTAGGACTAGAGCTGACTCCAATGTCTAGTCTTTCAATATAACTACAAAACAAGAAGATTTCCTCACTTTAACCCCAAGACCAGGCCTGGATCAGAATTGTGGTACAGCTTCAAGTGGTTGGGGAACACTGAGCTGCATAGCACAGAAGTAGGAAACTGATTCTGCAAAATGGAAGGCTGGGGTATTGAAATAACTGAAACCCTTTATATTTCCTAGCAGTATTTTAATATTTTTGATTTTGTGTTTCTTCTGGTTACTAGAAATTAACTTCAAAAGCAGGAGAGTCTACCCAGGATAATGCAGACATTAATGGCAGTTGAAGGCTGTTCTGTCTTGAGAAGTGCTTTTGAGAATGGCAGGCATTCTTTCCTGGGTCCTCATGAACATAGGGCTCTGCTGAACATACACAGCTGCCCACCCCATTTAGATGGAAATCACACAGAGGAGAAGCATTAGGTTCCTTTTGACATGTTCTTTTTGGATAGTATCTCAAAATGAGCACAATAGCCCCACCATCCAATGTGAAATTCCACAATATAGAGAAGGTTACCATAATCTGCTTGTTTTATTGACTTCTGCAACGCCACCTTCTCACAGCACAGCTGACACAGGATAGGATGAATGAGACTCCTAAAAGCTTCCACATCTTTCTCTCCATCAGACCAGTCTTCTTCAGTTCACTACTGAACAGCTAAGTATGGTGATGTCCATTTCCTGTTTCCTCTGACATTTGTGGAATTTTGGATCAGGAGGTAAGTGAAGGCACACACCTAAGACTGTGCTGAAACCACAATAATCTTAAAGGCAGATGTTCAGCTGCCAGACCTCTGCTGTCCCTCAGTTTGTGCTCAGCTCCCCCTGTGGTTTCTGCCATTGTGTCACTCACAGCACAGTAGTACACAGCCGAGTCTGACTCTAGGACTGCAGCTTTCTTCAAGTGGAAGGAAGTGTTTTCTCTGTCATATCTGGCTTCAAATCCTTTATAGCTTCCCTTCTCATTGGCTGTGATGGCTTTCAGGAGAAGCTGGAGACCATCTCCAGGATACTGGACATACCAGAAGAGATAAGTGTACCCTGTTGCTGTGTAAGTGCAGTCTATGGTCATGGAAGCCCCTTCCAACACAGATATGCGGCTTTCCTTCTGGGTCACCGATATTCCACAAGTCCTTCCTGGAGGAAAAAGAGATCTGTGTCATCCTGGGAATAAAGTTCTTAGGTAAATTTTAGGCAAAGATTTGGTTGAGAGGCGGGGGGCAGAGGAAAAAACGAAAAGAAAGATTTTGTTGAATTTGTAGTAGAAAGTGTCCAAATTTTAAAATTGATTTTACTTACCAACTATTAAGAATATTACTGTCATTAAGCCTGGAGACATTCCTTATAGTGTTAGGAAAATATGTTCTCTATTCTTCAGTGAAAGAAACTTTGAAAGTGATAGAGAAACAATGTATTTAAACCACCATCTCCACAGGAAATAAGCTTGTGTTAGGTAGCTGCTCCCCCTGGTGCACAGGGTCTGAACTGAGGCCACTGTTGATTGTCTCCCAAAGTCAGATGTCCTCCTCCCTGACCTAAGCTATAAGTCATAAACCAGTCTTCAAGTATTCTCTGTTAATTTATAGGAAAAAATGATGACTTCTAAAGTGTTTTATTTATTTCTTAGAGAAGAGCAATCCAGTGTGTGTAGCTGAAAGACACCAATTGCCTTGGACACTTTAACCCAGGCCTTTCTTTCCTCATGTTTCTATTGTGGGCCACCCTAACCATTGTAATGTCATGGAAGTGTTTTGTGCTGAAGTTACAGGAGGTGATAAGAGGCTATATTAGTACTGATTCTGTGTTTATAGCACTGTTTTTCCAAAACACAGAAAATGACTGAGATCCTAGGTGCCCAATGCATATTTGTTAAATGAAACTAAAAATGAATACGTGGACTTTGGTTGAAGTATCACTACCAGTTCTTGAAATATGACATTTGCTGTTTTAGAATAATTTCAAATTCGATTTTTAATTTAATGTTTTTTGTTAAGGTGATGAACAGAGGGGTTACAGCTACATACATAAAGTAATGAGTACATTTCTTGTCGAACATTGTTACTCCTTTTCTTGTTTTTCTTCTAAATTCCCTCCTCTCACTCCCTACCCCACAAGTTGTAAAATTCATTTCCAAGTTATTGTCTTGTATTGCTGTTGCATTGGTTTGCCTTTTTGTGTCACCATGTTCTTGCTCCCCCTTCCTTCCCCCAATTCAGATAAACACATATGCAATACACAGTGTGACATAATGAAATACAGTGACAACAGGGAATACACCAGAGGGAAAAATGAAAGAAAAAAGAAATAACTTCTCATAGTGCATTAAAACAACAGCAATAAAGAAAAACCTCTTGTATCCCTATCTTGGAGTTAATTTAACTTAGGATCATCTTATATGGTCACGTGTACACAATTGAGCTATTATGATTCTCTTCTAGGACTATCCTAGACATATACTAATTTTCAAATGATGGAAAATCCCAATTCTGGAAATAAGGACACCAACTCAGAGCAGAGTCTTTATTGGTTGCTCAGCAACTATACTCCAGTATTTGGGTTGTAAGGTGCAGTGGCAGGCCCTTTTTCCCAGCAGAATTTTAAAGGGAAAACTCACATGCAGGTGGTGTTTGTCAAAGCAAGCAAGCAGATTTACAGAAGCAAAGCATAGTCTTGAACTGCAGAACCAGAAGCAAATCGTAGCTTTGAGTAGAGGTAGTATAGTTTAAATCTCAAAACATTAGAAACTCATTCTCATAGTTAGGGGTGCACTGAAATTTTCTTTACAGAAATGTTTTTTTTAATCATAAGTCCTGGATGATAAAGCAACTCAGTACAGCTGGTGATAAACCTCAAGGTTGTTAGTGGTCTTCAGTAAAATTTGTGATAAACTGCAAATTTGCCAATCTGGAAACTTGAGTGAGGGAGTGATGCTCTTTTGCTTTTTATCGAATATAGAAAAGTCTTAGGCTGACTACTGGCCATATGACCTGGAGTTTCTCTCCACAGAGGGGTTCTGCTTTTAACATTTGGCCCTATTTCTGATAAGTAATAATTTTGTTTGGTCATTGATTTTACAATGAGGGAAACTGTGCAGTCTATGTTTCTTAGGGTCTGGCTTAGTTCACTTAATATGATTTTTGTAAGTCTTTCCATTTCCATAAGAATGATACCTATGTGTAAATAAGTGACCACAAAAGTGCTAAGGAATACTTTATTACATTAGTTAACAATTTAGATGTATTTGCATTATAATTTTATTGTCCATATAAAACCTACAGATGTAATAACAACATAATTTAAATATTAGTTCCTATTTTTTCATTTTCTGAATCTTTTTTTTATATTTTATTTTATTTGTGAAGATACTGCACAGAGGGGTTACAATTACATGGGCAGGATAATGCGTATATTTCTTACCGAGCATTGCAGCCTCCTCCTTTTGTTTACCCTTTACATCCCTTCCCAGCCTCCCCCCTCCCCCAGAATCCCAACCCTTCTCCTTCCCCCCCTTACCCCCCCCACACCAACATTGTAAAGCTC